GTTGGATCTCTCCATGTGGTATATCCTCCATCTCAAACTCAGCAGGTCTCAAATATAGCTCCTCATCTCTCAAACTGCTCCAAACCCTGGGAAGAATTTTATCACCAACATTTTCTCTTGCATTTGTCTGCAGATCAAGGAACTAAAAATTTCAAGTCTGGAAGACCATGAAGTGGCAAGTTCATTTGAAGGGTGCAAATCACATTAATTCTTTTAAGTTAGCTATGCTTTTTATGCACACTCTGGCTTGATGTTATCCACCAATATATACCAACCTTGAAGGTGTTTCAAGAGCAGTGTTAATTTACAATATTCAGGAATCGGTAGGCAGGAGGCACACATACACAAATTTTCCATTTAGTTAGAATTCTTCATTAGAGCCATCCAGAAAGCCTGATGGTTTCATACCAGTTGAGATCTGGGCAGAGGACCTGGGAATAATGTGGAATCTCTTAAAAGTCAGAATGGTTCAATGGAAAGGACATTCATCGGAGTTGAACCTTTGCCTCCAGGACTTATTATCAGCAGTCTAAAGAGGTCTGTGACCTCGATCAAGTCATTAATCCACCTCTGATCCTATTTACTTTTTTTTTTTTTTTTAACAAATGGGGTGACACCAGCACCTACCCTGCAGTCTTATTATAAAGAGTGAACGAAGTTTAAGTCGATTAGCATAGAGTAGGCGAGTTGGTGATAGTAGAGGTTGGTTTCCTTCAGTGCCCCCCACCTGATCTCAGTAGAGGAGTGTTGCTGGCCTTGGTAAGTAGTCCATTGGAAACTGTTTGAGTTTAATGTGCAATGATACTGGAAAGAAAATACATTTAATGGACTGTATTAAATTTAGTATACTGTCTTATGATTTTGTATTATGTTTGGAAAGGCAGAAGGTATCTATAGAAGTATGAACTACATGGGAGAATAAAATGTGCTAACTAGTGGAAGGGCATTTAAATTTGTAATTATTGCAAGGAATGGAATTTGACATCAAATTTTTAAACAGTAAAAATTTTACACAATAAACTCTAGTAACGCCAGAAGAAGATCAATAGGGGAAAATGAGTGAAGGAAAATGCTTATATTTTAAAATGAGAAATGATGTGACTATAATACTTAGCGCTGGGGTAAAGCATGCTATTTCCATAGGAAGAAATGCATCAGAGTAGCAATGCAAATGAACCACATTTAATCTGCCATTATAAACATTTTCAACTAATGAAATCAGGGATTATAAAATAAATGTTGGAAAACTGGTGCACTTAAGTTTTAACTTCACTGAGAGCATCTTTTCCTGACCGTATGAAACACCGTCTTTTAAATATCCTTTAGCTTTTGGTCTGGCAATTTTGGATAAAATATTCTAAGGAAAAAGCTCCAAAGGGGGAAAATATAGTTTATACAAATATATTTATGATAGTATACATAAACATATATAATGTTTGTATATAAGTAAATATAAACATGTTTTATATATATATGATCATACACATATACACAAGACCAGCTTACAGGCCCTTGTTGAAATTCGGCAAAGCAAACATTAGCAAAATGGAATAAAATATAGTTATTAAAGATGATAAGCCCACAGACTATCAATATTTGGAAATAGGTATATGAAATAAATTTAAAGAAAACCATTCTGTTGTATCTAATTTACAGCTGGGGCCCCTGTTCTAGGGATATAGTGAAGCGACAAGACTGTCTGTTGCTGCTTCAGGGAGAAGAAACTCCAGAGTGGGAAGATAGATAGCAATGAGTACAAATTGACTAAATAAGGTAGTTTCAGGTAATAAGTGCTATGAAGAAAATTAAATGGCATTACAAGGAGAGGGCTTTGGTGCAGAGGGGTGGCGACATCCTAGGGAGGCTGGGAGAGGAGGAGGCCCCCTGAGCCGGGATCGTGTTGAGGGGTGGGAGGCTGAAGGTGTGGGCTCCAGGAGCAGCAAGTTAAGGGATCTCAGACTGGAGCGAGTTTGGCGTGTGTGAACCAAGAGCGGGCCAGTGCGGCTAGCTCTTAGAGAGTAATCGATTGTATGTTTGCCTGGATTACAATAGAAACCAAGTTATCTTAGAATGGCTTTAATAGCTAGGCTAAGATTTTTCTTAATTGTGCAATTATAGGAAAACAAGTATATGAAACAAATGTGCATCTTAAGAATAATAAGGCAAATATCCACAGACCCACCGCTAGTTTATGAAATAAAAGACCCTTAATCCTCTTGTAGCTTTCTGAGTGCATCACCTTCCCTTGCCCCCAGGGGTGAACATTGTATAACTTTTGAGATGATTCACTTCCTTTGCTGTGATTTCGTGACCTATATATGTAATCTAAACAAATACTTTAGCTTGTTTTGAACTTTACATAAAAGAACCATACTGTGTGTATTCTTTTGTGACTTGCGTCTTTCTCTTCAAATTGTGAATTTCATCTGTCTTGATGTGTGAATTTGTAGTTATTTTAACTGTATAGCATATGACTGTACTATAATTTACTCACTTATTCTACTGCTGATATCTCCCTCACCGTCTTGGCCCAGAATTTGGCTATTACTATGATCAGTTCTGCTGTGGATTTTCTGGTACACATCTGCAAGTGCCCATGTGCAAGAGTTTATCTTGGGAATTTACCTAGGAGGAAAAGTTTTGGGTTGTAGTGATATCATCAAGTTTATTAGAAAATGCCAAACTATGTAAAAAGTAATTATTACCAGTTTTTACTCTCACTAGCAGTGTAAGGAGATTTGTTCCTCCACAAATACAGTCACACCATTACGTGGAGTTGCCAGACTTACTAATTTTTGCCAGTTGGGTCAGTATATTTGTATTGAGATATCTTGAGGTTTTAATTTTCACTTTTATGATCACCGGTGAGTTTAAGCACCTTTTCAAGTGGTTATAGGCTACTTGGGTTTCCTTCACTTCCTTTTGCCTATGCAATTGTTTTGTTCAATTTTTTTATTGGAGTTTCTGCCTCATTTTATTGATTTGTAGCAGTCATTTATACCTTCTGGATGTGCACTTGTCTTCACTCTTATGTATTTACAATTTTAACATAAATTTTATTCATCTTTCTCTAGTGTTATCCATTTAATCACCCCAAAAGCTAGTGGCTAGAACAGCAGCTATTTATGTATTTCAGTGTGTGCTCTGCTCGCTGGGCTGGTGGTCCCCTCTGGGCTGCCTCGTGCATGTGTAGGAAGCTCTGCTTCTGCAGGCTGCTGGGTGACTAGGGGGCCACTGTGCCGCAAGCCTTTCGTCAGCTCGCAGTGGAACCCGGGCTTGTTCACATGGAGGACAGAGGGCTCCGGGAAAGTGGAGCAGAGGTGTGCAAAATTCCTTGTGGTGGAGGCTCTGGGTGGGCGGTGTCGCTTTCCCCATGTTCTGTCAGCCACAAGACCAGCCTAAGATTCAAGGGGTGGGAAAATAGAGCAGCTATCCACGGGCGGAGTCACATGGCACAGAGGTGTGCCTTCAAGGAGGGATGGCGCCTGCGCTCCATCCTGCTTTACCTTAGGCTTTGTGCTTTTCTTCCGTATTCCAAGGGCGAGAAATTACAACCCTCTAAGATCTTCTAAAAGTTTTACAGTTTTGCCTTTCATATATAGGTCTTAAAGTGTTTGGTTCTTTTTTTTTTTTTTAACTTTAAAAAGAAAAAGTTTGAGAACAGCAAGATAAACATGAATTAGATAGAGGAAAAATGAAATTTCAAAACCCATGACAGTGGGGAATGTTTTGGTTAAAAAACATAAAAAACCAGATAGCATTTTCTAAAGTAAAAATAAGAATTTTTTGCTTTTATGCCTTATTAGCTATAATACAATTAATAAGATAAGAGAAAATTGCTCCTGCTTTATCTCACCCTCTTATTAAAAATGCCCAGTTTGCACATTGCTTCACTTTCTTGTCCACATTTATTTATTGCATGTGAGTATTCTGATCAGCAGTTACGGATTGCATTTTACGTTTTTCAACTTTGCAATTTGCTTGATGTGAAATTTTATTTTAACATACTATGACTCTGTCAGTCTTCATCGTGCTGAGACAGGAGCTGTGTGGAGAGCAGGAGACAGTGAACAGCTTCTCAGAAAATGCTTTAAACCTGAGGCAGGATTGTGCACTGGTCTGAGCGTGGGCTTTCAACCAGTGACTCTGGAATAAAATCAAGCCTTTACTGTTGTCCTTTGTAGCTGTGCAGCCTTAAGCAAATCACTGAACATCTCTGAGCTTTACCTTCCTTGTTTGTAAAATGGGATAATAATCTTTATTTTATATGTCTCTTGAATATTGAATGAAATAAAATATATCACCTAGCATGGTACATGGCCAATAAAATGAATGTTAGCCTATTTTAGAAGCAGAGTTTTCTACTATTCTGTCTCCACTTAAGATGAGGACCTCTGTAGGTATTTTGCAGAATTAATTCTACCATTTCATTTTGGCCTTCGGTTATCTCCGTGATCCTGTTTTCTGTGAACATTATTTTTGAATCTCCAGGGTTTCTCTGCCTGGAGTGGTTATTTGGCAGTCAATTAAGACCACCTGGTTGGCCGACCCTGAGCTTTTGAGAGCCTTACGTTTGAAACCATGGCAGGCAGCCAGAGCTGATCAAGCCTTGAGCGATGCCATCAGGTGTGTGCGTTCCTAATCGCAGCCTGAACCTTAGGCAAGTTCTGACCTGAGTGAGCAGAAAGAGGGAAAGTGCTTTAGGCAACAAAGTGAAATAATCAGACTGAGGAAGAAGACGACGGGGGAGGGAACTAACATTTCTCTAGCACCGGTTCTGTGCCACGATATAGACTAGAAGACAGAGGCTACCCAGAGAGTGTGCCAGGTTGAGGATGGTGGGCATCTTGCAAAGGAGTTGGGTGGTGCCCAACTCCTTTTGTTCTCACAGATTGAGTGGAGGAGAGCTTTATAGCTCTACGGAGTGTGGGAGGAATGAATTTCTTCTATGCCTTGACTTAAAACAAGGACCCAAGTAATCATTATACCTTTCTTTCTAGGTCTTTCAGCAGCCCAGAGGAAGTTTGCTCATTCACTCAGAGACTTTAAATTCGAGTTTATCGGCGATGCAGAAACTGATGATGAACGTTGCATAGGTAATTAAAGATGAGTTTTTGGTTTGTTTTGCTTTGCTTTGGCCACCCAATAATCATTCCTTTCTCCTTACAGATGCCTCCTTACGTGAATTTTCAAATTTTTTGAAGAATCTGGAAGAACAGAGAGAAATCATGGTGAGTTGAGAGGGATGTAAATCAGTAAATCACATTTCAAAGGGTGAGAAGTCTGGATGTAGAAGCTGGTTCTGGTGGAAGTTTTGATGTGTTTATCTGTGAATGCGTTAGTGCACTGTAGTGGAAAGAGGTTTCAGGAGCCCTGATTTCTAGTTCCATGAGTGTGCTGACCTCGGTCAGATCTTGGACAGGTTGCTGGACCTCTGGATGAACCTCGTGTTTCTTCACCTGTGTGATGGAGGGCTGGACTACATCAGTGATTTCTAGCTTTTCGTTAGCAGCAGAGCATTTTCATTTAAATGAAATCAGAGTTGTAATGTATCAAGGAGATAAAAGCAGAAAAGCTTATGTAGATGCAGAGGGACAGCAGGGCAATGTTAGCACCTGACTAGGACCCCTGTAGATTTCTAGACTGTGTGGAGAGGGAGAGAGCTCGGGCCTGGAAGTCTTTGAGATCCCACTTTGCATTGACATTCATGATCATACCAAGAATAGGAAAAGCTAACCTTCAGTGGGTGCTCTCCGTGTTCCCGGTGCTATGCTGAGTGCCTTGAGTGGGTGATCTGATTTAACAGATGCTCAGCAAAGAATTTTGGGGATATTGAATAGTATTTGCCTGCCTTTCTTAAAAAGCTTACATTTCCTTCCTTGTGATATTCTGTAATTGACCAAAGATTTACAGTAGAATTTCTACTGGTTTATGACACACTATTCTCACTGTTTTTTTTTTTTTTTTCAGTCTTTAAAAAAATTACACTTTTTTCCTATGTTCTTGAGAATGAGCACTACTTAGAATTATGTTAAAATGTAAGTGTTTTGAGTGGGTTCAAATGTGGTAGAAATGAGAATACTGAACATTAGAGCTAAGATAGTTAACCTGTACCTATTCCGTGCCGGGGTATAGACTGGAAGACAGAGACTACCCAGAGAATGTGCTAGGTTGAGGTTGGTGGACCTCTTGGCAAAGAAGTTGGGTTGTGCCTTCTCAAAATTGAGTGCAGAAAAGCTCTACAGCTCTACCAAGCATAGGAGGAATACATTTCTTCTGTGCCTTGACTTAAAACAAGAATCCAATTAATCATTATGCTTTTCTTTTGAAGTTTTCCTTTTTATAATACTTAGAAATAACAATACTGATCCTTGATAGCTAAGATAGTTAACCTTGACTATATGCCAGGGACTGCTCTAAGCTGTTACCTAACATTAAGTCATTTAATTCTCATGTCAACCTTATGAGGTAGTTATTGCTCCCCATTTTACAGATGAGGAAACTGAGGTACATTACCTTGCTCAAGATCACGTGGTAACTAAAAGGTAGAGCTTATGTGATAAGAAGTAGGCACCTTGAGCCCATCTTCCTTCCTCACTGCAGCCAGCTTCATAGACGTTACTGTCATCTGCCGGTTGGTGGTTTCTGCTGGATAGAGTTGTAGTAAGGGCAGAAGTAGGGAGAGGACACTGATTTTGATTTGAAAAGTGACAGAGACATAGGCCCTTTAAAGGCCCTAATATAATTTACACTGTTCTCTAAATTCTGAGATAATTTGTATATGTTGTAAATGACCATAGAGAGCATGTGAGGACACTCTGGTCCCGTGAAGTTTTTCTGGCACATGCTGACAGATTCAGCCATTTCCATGTGATCTTGCAGTCACTGATTTTTCAGCTGTTTAGGAAAGATTGGATATGCTAGTGGATAAAAATAGTGCCGTGACATCACACGAAGTGAGTGTGGGTGGAGATATGTGTTCTTAGTTTATGTTAATAATACCAGTTTTCTGTTCTTAACCCTCTTTACTGTTTGAGATGTGAAGATACAGAGGCAAACAAAGTCCCTGCCTTCACGGAGGTGACATTATAGGAAGGGGTGGTGACATATAAATAAACATATAATACATCGTCAGGCAGGGATAAGTGCTACAAAACAAAACAAAGAAGGATTAAGAGCCAGAAGTGAGGTGGAGTGTTGTTGTATCTCGAGTGGTGACTCGCTGAAGGCCTTTTCAACAGAGGACTCTATGTGGCATCATCCCAGTGTCTGAAGGAAGAGAGTTCTGGGCAGAGTGGCGCTGGCTTTTAGCTCTGCAGAAACACTGTGTGACCACCGTCTGTCTGCTTTAGGTTCCTTGAGATGAACTGATAAGGTCAAACACTGGAACGTGGGATCAGCTCCAGGCTGTGTGGTGTAGATGGCATGGTTCACAGAGCTGGTGTGGGCTGACCTGCTGACTTATCTTCAGCTGTGATAAGGTTGATAGGTTTCTGTCTTAGGTAGGAGGAGGGTGACAAGGTTAGGTTCCCAGTGCAGAGCAGAAGCGAGAATAGAATGGTGTCTATATAAGGCCGTGAACTTCAGAGAGGAGTGGCACTGTGTGTTACAACCCATCTGTGGGGACAGAAGCACCTGCTGGGTGGCGGGAAGCTATCCAAAGGCTGAGAGCAGTGGGGGGAGCAGCGACAATCAACCATAGAATTAACGGGATACCTCCTAATGCTTTCTTCCTTCTCAGTTTGGAAAATTTCAAATGTATAAAAGTCGAGAGAAAAATATAATGAACCTACATGTACTCAACACCCGGCTTTGCAAACAATCTTGCTGCTCCTTATGCCCCTCACTTCTCCCCCCATTATTTTGACAGAAAGCCCAGTATTATATCATTTCATCTATAAATACCTCTCGTACTTAAGAAATTTCCCGTGTGGTCCTGGAAGATACCTGGTAAAGGGCTGATTAAAATATGCTGTGTGTGATAACAAAGGTATAGAGCGTAGCTAACGTGGAGTGGGGAGTGCTGAGCCTGTGGTTGTCAGGAAAGACTTTATGGAGGAAAAAGTATTTGAGCTGGGAGTTTGCAGGGGTGAAGACACAGCTGGAGGGCCTTTATATAGTTTAGCAAGCTCATACCTCCTGAACACAGTCACAAGGAGATAAGGTCTTTAAGCAGCTAAAATGCATACCACTGCCTTCTGCGAATCCTTAAAAACTCTTGTTTTATTTAAAATTATTACAAACCAGTATGATGTTAAAAGCCACAGACTAAAAAAGGAATGCAAGATGACAGCTGTAAAATAGAGGTAGAAATATTCTAAAATTGGTTACAAAGATTTAAACAATCTTAGTGGTCTCTTAATCTTGAAAGGTAATTTAGTATTTTCTGCAGTCCTAAATTAAATAATGGTGCAGCATAATAATTGGATATTCATAATTAAGACTGAGTCATTAAAATGTTTATATATATATATGTTTTAGAAGGCAAAGACCAATGCCAAATATTTTAAAAAGCTCTCCATGTTTTAAATAAATATTAAATAGGACTTTGGGCTTTAGGGTATAAAGTCATCTATCTATCTGGAAGTTCAGCAATCTGGAATAAGTTCTTCCTTGTTGGTTGTGAGCCACCAGGTATATATGTTCATGTGCCTAATCTGTGTACCTAAATAGACTATACTTAGTTCAACAAATACTGTGTGCCTACTGCATGCCAAGCCCTGTGTCAAATATTATAAAGACATAGTTCCTACCCTTGAGTAGTTAGCTGCCCATTGGAGGAAATGGCCAAAAGCATGTAATTTCAGGATGCTTTGTGGTAATAAAGGGATTGAGGAATTTAGAGAAGGCATCTGGGAGAGGTGATTTCTGAGGGGAGTTGAAGGATCAGAGTTAGCCAACTAAGGAAAAATGGATTGAAGCTCTGGTTTCCTCCTTCAGGGGAAAAACTGTGTTGAATTTAGAAAAGGGGAAAGGATATGTTTGCATATTCCTTCCCTCTCCCCCAACCCACTGTCCAGCTCTGTCACTATTAAAACGAACTGTTAGAGAGGGAAGTAGAAAAATCACCAGTCTAAGAAAAGAAGTCAGTGTTTCCCTCCACACACACAAATCCAATTTCCATGAATGGATGTGCTGAGCCCTTTCAAAAGTCAATATTGTCTTTTTCAGAACAGTGTTTTCAGGCGAGTAGTTTTTACTGCTAATGTTGCCATCCTTAAGTGTGAAAGTGAGTAACTCAGATGGGGGCACGGGATAGGATACAGTTAGTGGCCAGAATTGTGGCGCTCACTTCTGTGTGTGTTCTCTGAGGAAAGTGCTCTGTGGCGTGTTGCCGCCAGAATTCCGGAGATGTTCTCTCTGGCATGGTAGGACATGTTGTACTTATCTGAGGTGGGCAGCTATCCAGGAATCTGAGGACTTTTAAAATAGTGCTGTGGTGTTTATGATGTTCTTTTAAAAGCCTTTCATATTGTATTCTCTATGCGTGTCCTTTTATCAGATCATTTAGATTTTGTTCCTAACCTAAAAAGGATTGCTCAGTTTCTGGATTCTGGCAAATCAGGGCAATTGCATGAGGCCCAGAGGTTCAGGAAAGCTGCAGGGAAAGGGGGTGGGGCAGGAGAGAGAAGGCGGAGCTTGCCAGACGGTGCCCCAAAGGTGCCTGCTGCCAAGCAGATGTGGGTGGGCGTCTTTTCCATCAGCTGCATCTCATTCCCCATTTGGGCAAGGTGGCCCTTTGCTTACATGGTCTCTTCAGGCTTTTGAGACCCTTTTCTCTTTTTTTCATGTTGTTTTTCTCTACCACAGATGTCACCCTTATGAAAACACTGTGCCAGGGAACACTTGCTGGGGGACGCGTCCTGAGCTTTTGCCCCCATAGAGAAGGTGGTGAGCTTCTGAGTGCTGAAGCCTTCTGTTGATAGTTCAGATGCTACACGTGAGACCCAGTGCCGGCTTTGCTGCCTTGCTTTCTCATCATCTTCCATTGTCTCAAATCTCCTCTGTTTCCTTTCGAATTTTTGTTCCAAACTATTATTTTTTTTCAAAAGTGTTTCACAATATTACTAATGTAATATATATTGGTTAAAATGAATTGAATCTATTTTGCCTTTTGGGAGAAAATTTCGTGATATTCTTTCTTTAGTGTGCCCTAGGGCAGTTGTTCTCAAGGGTCCCTGGTCCAGCAGCATCAGCATCACCTGGGAACAAGCTAGAAATGCAGATTCTC